AGTTGTTGGTGCAGCGTCCCTTTACGACGAAAAAAGTGGACAGAGAAAAATCACTTGCAAACCCGATGTAGGTTTACTATGTTACAACAAGGACCAGAAGCCTCACCAATGTCACGATTATGAAGTCAGATTTTTCTGCCCATGCCGTAAGTATAATTATATATATAATTTAGGCTTATACTTTTTGAGAAATAAACAATAAAATGTTAGTCATCATATACATGTATAGATAGATTAATTGGGCGACAACATTAGCTATCGCAAATACCTCAATCCTCATTTTGCAGTTTTAACTTTGTCGTGAAATGCTATTTATGATTTCGAACAAATTGACAAATAACTTCAACAATTATACTCATTTTTCAGCTCGTTACGAAACATTGTGATTTTAAAACGACATGTCGATAATATTAAAAAAATACGTGAAATATTTAATGTGTTACAAGTTCCCAGGTTCTAGAATTTCATTTGAAATGATCCGTTGCGTCTCCGTTATTTAATAATTATATTTCAACTCGAATTGCGCAATCGACAATTGTTAATTATCGCTGTTCAATTGTTTTAAACGTTTGAATTATCATTGCCCAATATAATCTACAGAATTATATGTTGAACGATTATTGTTAAACGTTATTATGTATGCGTCTATTAGACCAACAGCATTCGCAGACAGTGAAACAGTGGGGAACCTCTCATATATCAATAACGGTTGTCTAAATTGAGCTAATAAAATATTTAATCAGAAGTAAACCAATACTGCCAACTGAGAAAACATGACTACAACGTGTCGAATTGATTGTATTGTAATACAACATGGTACCTATATAAAAATAATTTTACACGGTGTAGAACGTGTCAAAGACTGACCCCGCTGATAATACCTGTTTATATTCAAGTACCACCGTAATTGTAACGCGACATATAAATGAAAATCGAATGCACATTTAGTTACCCATACTAATATTACTGCGTTCTCTATTTTCTCAAGCAGTCACGCCGATTCAAAATTCAACTGAGGTTGAAGTTAAGAGTAAACCAACAGGTAAATGATAATTGTATTTGGGCCGAGGCATGTGTGTTTCACACTGTCACTGGGATAAGAGGAAATTGAACACAATCTATGCAGTGCCTTTCCTTTTTGATGAGGTTTAAACAACCAGAACTTATGTATGAAAATCAACTGACCGATAATAATTATAACCCATGTGAATCACATTGCATGTGTTTTACAAAGCCTAGTTAACGTCACAATGACATAATACCGGAAATTTAAACATCTAACATTAACTCGATACGTATAGAGCTGTAAGTTCGAACACAATTTTTCTCGTGAAAAACGATACCCTGACCTCGACCGAATTCATTTGTAGTGTCGTCGATAAAAACATTTTTGACGGAGACCCGACTGAAAACGAACATTTGTTTTATGCTGGTGGGTGTTCCGCTAATCTAGCAGCACCATATTTGACATTTCATAAAATAAAATAGTTATGAGTGGGGTTACAGTTCATTCGTCCGATGCATTTAATTTGCCGCAAATACATGAAAGGACATATGTTTGTGATAATGTCATTGATATTATCCGTAACGGGTTGCCTATATATTGTTGTTGCCTATCTATTTTGAGGTACTATTATACATTTTTTTCACTTATTCCAGATTAGAATGAACTGGTAGTAAAGACTCAACTTTCCCGTGAGCCAACGTATGTACCGTAGATGTTGAATTGCAGAACACAGCCATAATTATGCAAAATACTGCATAGCAGATTGTAAAAGTTGAGAAAAAATGCAAATAATTAGTGTAAGATTTATTACAATACAATAATATTGTATCTATTTTGTTTCATGGGTTTTGAAGACCACGTTTCAACAATATTACAATTAAAACTATATCATCTTTAACAAAGTCTTCTCTGTTACATATTATTCGACTGTATGTTAAAATAATAAAATTTGTTAAATGCATGTAGTAATTTTAGTATACGTTTCATATGACATAATCTGCCAGTGCAACGCTTTCAATTTTTCCACACAATGATCGGCGTTTGATAAACATACAAGACAGTTTCATGCGAATGATTAAGTTATAGATATTCGTTCACTGGCACATGGTATTATGTTTTGACATTTTATATTCAGACAGATCTTTAAGCATACTGTTAGCATGTCGGAACTCTGATACACGAGGAACTTATTTGAAACACAATTAACAAATTATATCACAAGTCATTATAAATGACTTAGTTCCTATTTGTATTATACATAATTTCGACATAACCGAATACCACTATTAAGGATATCGTTGCGATGTCAAGCATACACACCAAATATTGGGAATTTTATATACAGCAACTGCAATTGACAGAGAGCAAATTTCTAAAATTATGCGCCATAAGCAGTTCCTGAAAAAACAGGCAAAATTGCGCGAAAGTCAGTGCACGGTACATTATATAAAACACTAGATAGTGGGCGTGATATACAGATTGTTATGTACACTAGATACTGGGCGTGATATAGAGATTGATATGTACACTAGATACTGGGCGTGATATACAGATTGCTTTGTACACTAAACACTGGGCATGATATACAGATTGCTATGGAGGATAGATACTGGGGGTGATATACAGATTGCTATGTACGATAGATACAACGTCATGATATACAGATTGCTATGAACACTGGAT